TGTGAACCCTGTGAGCTATGGTGATGACTGGCCTGGCAAGATATGCCCACTGGTGCAATAGTGGCACAAATGTCATGGATGTAATCACCTAATTTCTGAATGGATTTAAGGTTAGTGTCATGACATAGAGCCAAAACCTGACACTCGTATCATGAGCAGGAACCCATGTTTATACAGGTCATAGAATGTAAGGGAAAGTCTACTACTATTAAGTCAGTGGATCTGTCAATTCTTACCAGAGAAACTTCTTCTTATAGCAAATGGTGATAAACACAAAGACACATAATTGATGAATATGCAGAAAATAGGAAACTGTAGAGTCCTTGGCCTTAAATGGGATATTTATATCACACCCTCTCCTCTGAAACCATTGCAGGAGAGGAAATGGAAAGATTGTCAGAATCAGTGGTAGTGGATGAATACAAGGAAAACATGTTGACCAGATATACCAGATCAGTTGCACATATTAAATCATAGTGCTTGTGTCAGTAAGTATAAGAACTGGGCCATCCTAAGCCAGGCAAAAACCCAGCATGTTGGTTGTTGGGGGGTGGGGTCGGGGAATAAGCCCCAGACCTAGCTGAGGAACTACGGGCAATGCGTAGCTGCTTGGAGAGAGGGACACATTTTCTTTAAATGTTTGATGCTAGGTAGGTTGACCAGGCTTCAGAATATTGTCTTCCACCAAACAGCATTTGAGGAACACAAATTAGACTTGATAAGCCTTAAAAACCAATAGAAAAGTATACAATCTGGGGAAGGCTAGGAAGAAAAAGCATGACCCATGCTGGGTAAAGGCTTTCCAGTGTACATACCCTCAGATCAAACATACACCTCAGCAATCCCTCAGTTATCTCAGTAAGTAAGCTCAATAAATTCATTGGTTCCCTAGCAAACCTTTAATCAAACATTTGCTTGGCACTAGAACCTTAAAAGGGAATAAGCATTGCTTAGCATCCCCAGGAAAAGAAGTCTCACAACAGAATGAAAATGTATTTGTTAATGACATTATGTCTCATAATTATTAAAAAACAAAACAACAATGAGAATGTAAAAGATGTTAAAAAGATATGGGAATGGAGGTATTTTCCAAAATAGACAAAAAATGAGAAAGCCTAAGCAAGTGATGAAGGTCTGTGTAGGTTTGTTATGATATATAAAGGATGAGACAAAAATAATATACACATAATCTTAAATTTTCTATAGTCATAGTTTGGTCAACTAGTTTAAGGAACAAAATATATATCTAGTCAAGGTTTATCTGAGCATATTTGGTTTTTGACCCAAGCCTTATCTACATAGCACATGATAATTAAAAGCACCAGACTGGTGGAACAAACCTTATTGGATGTTTAACAGCAATAGTTTGAGGCTTATACTAATGTGGTTAGAGGGATTTAAAGGACAGTTTTTGCCCCTTGCCCTCCAAGGTCGACTAGCTTTCAGAGGATTTTGGAACAGCTCTCAAAATATCCTATATCTGTGGTGAGTCACCTGTCCTCTTGTTCAGAGAAGATGGAAACCCCACGAGATGGACTTGAACCATGGCCAGTCTACAAAGAGGAGGGTCAACTCAGAGGAAACATCTCATTCATGCTTCCAAGTGAAGCCAGACATCGTCGAGTAGAGCCTTTGACTTATCTTCACATAGATGGAACTGGTAAAAGAAAGGAGCCAGGGGCTCCTCTCAAGCCCATGTGACCCCTGAGGAACAGATCCTCAAATGACCTTAAGTGTAAAAATAAATTGATTTATTTGGGCCAACTGTATGGTCTTAAACACCCAAAAGGAAAGTATAACCAAAGTGTAAAGTCATCAATATATTTAACAGTTCAAGGGATTACACTTCCCAAACATTAGGATTAAGTCTATATAAAAAATTATTTAGACAATTATTTCTCATTGATGATTTTGTTCCTAACTGGAAAGTGCTGCTCAGATGTTAAGACTTCAGATCTTGGTCTCCAATACTTTAGTGCCCACCTGTAGCTAAGGGAGACACCAGCTATTTTTCTAAAATATGGATAAATTTGTTTCCTCCCCTTATCTGGAAGATTTGAGAGGGAACTGACACTGATTCTAACCACTCCAACAGCTATTAAAATGCCTGAAAGCAAATCCTGAATCCATCACTCTCCAGTCCAGCTTTGGAAGATGAAAGAAAAATAAGGAAAAACCCAATAGAGGGGTGCTTTTGGAAGCCCTTGTCAAGAAATTCCAATGGACTCTCATATGAACATCTGAAAATTGCCCTGTTCTGACTTTTTTCTAGTTCCCCATCTAGAACTTGTAATGCTAATTACTCTTGCCTTTACTTCTCCTTCACATCTCATATTCATGATTCAAGGAATTTCTTTCTCCCCTAGAGATAAGAGTTATGCAATTTGGGAGTCTTAGAATGACCCACTGAAGGGGTACTCCAATCACCTCACCGTGTCCCTGTTCAGTATGGAAGAATCCAGAGTGGTCTGCATCCCTACTCCTTATTGGCAATTTGGGTAACCCCATGAGAGGATGGTGTGATAAGAATAGGAGGTAGGAATTGGCTAGGCAGTTAGGGTAAAAAGACCTCAAAGTAGCCAGTTTCTTGGCTAAAACTCACAATGTCCTTGGGCCTCTTAGCAACCTACTCTGTTCCAAAGGCCAAAAATGTCGAAAATATTTGGGAGCTTTTATCTAATCCTTAAAAGACTTTAGGGTTACCTCTTCTGAGGGGCAATGTTAGAGTAGCCAAAAGCCTCATAAAAAAAAAGAAGAGCACATGAAGTTATCAGAAAATAGTGATGGGGAGATATGGGAGGAGTTGGAGGGGAGGGAGTGGGCATGGATTTGATCAAAACACCTTACATGCTTATATCCCTGTATGATATTCTCAATAAGTAATTTTTTTGTCTTTTTGAAACAGGGTCACCCCGTAGCCCCAGCTGTCCTGGAACTCACTATGTAGACCAGGCTGGCCTCCAACTCGCTGAGATCCACCTGCCTCTGCCTCCTGAGTGCTGGGATTAAAGGTGTGTGCGAATACATGTGAGTTTGAATGTATTGAAAATGAATTTTTCTGTATGAAACTGTGTATTTTAATAATGAAACGGATATCTTTTATAAAGGCTAAAACCTCATTTAATTTTATGTCTTATAGGGTGTATACTGAGTACAATATTGTATAACTGTAACAATTCAACTGTAAACCTAAAAATTTACAGCCAATTTTGAAAAAGATGCATCTTAGCTCAGAAAATTGTTATTGAATATGTCAATGCTTTTGTAATGAAATGCTTCTTCTAAGTATGTGGTTATTAAATAAATAATTAACTGGAAAAATAATAAAATATTTTTAAAAAGAACAAAAGAAAAAAAATAAGTAAATAAATAAATAAAAGAAGAAGAAAGAGTGCATGAAGTTATCAGAAAAAAGTGATGGGGACATATGGCAGGAGTTGGAGGGGAGGGAGTGGGCCTGGATTTGATCATAACACCTTTTTTGCATGTATGAAATTCTCAATAAATTATTCAAGAAAAAGAAAGAAAGAAAAAATATGTTTAAATGTGTTTTAAATGTCACTATATAATGTTTGCTGATTCCCTTTGAAGTATTATACAAAGAACAAAAAAACTGTGACTTTTAGAAATGAATCTTGTAAGATACATGTTTTTAAGTATCCAATTTTTAATTTAAACAATGATGTCCCTAATAAATGGATTTAAACCTAAAAAAATACACTAGAGGTGTAAACAGGGATATATGACAGCAAACGGTGAATTGTCAGGATCTGTTATCTGTCTACAACACAGATGGTCATCTCAGCCCTTGTGCATTAGTGAGTGCTTCATTATGCTGCTGCATTTATCCTGACCATATGAAAAGCTTTATCTCTCCTGAGTTGGATGATGCTATTTCAGTTGAAAATAAAAGCAAAACTAACAGAAAAAAAAAAGCCAGTATTTTTCCCTTTTAAGAGATCTCCCCTTTTCAATATTGTGAAGTAGTCTATCATTTTAAAGCTAGTTAGGGAGCTTTGTGCAGAGTCCTTTGGACTGAGAGCTTTGTGTTATGTCTTCCTGATTTTTTTTTAGATGATCAGTCTTTTGTAACAAAGCCTTTTCTCCCACATGTTAATATTTTTAGTGAAGATATATGTTCACGATTTATCATCTCAGAATATTTTAACATTTATGACATGTATGTTTAGTACCTTAAGTTAAGGTCCATTTTGAAAGTTCTTTCCTTTAAAAAATCTTAATAAATATCTAGGTATTATAAAGAAAAGTTTCCAGGTAGGAGCAACTATTGCTATTTTGAAAGATTTCCCTGTTTTTGAATCAATATATTGAAGTTTTTCTGGGAATAATTATTTAAATTTGCCTTCATTCTAAAGCTAATCAGTGGATTTTTTCAAGTAATATTCAATATATTAAACATGCAGCTATTTAATATATTTATTACTACTTTTTTTTAAATTTCTATGCTTATTATAAAATTTATCTAAGGAAACAAATACTAAAATAATGTCCGGGTAAAACTCATTTATATTAAATCATCATCAATAATCCATTGTGGGATGTTCATGTTATAAAAGAGTAATTTTATGAAATAATTATGCAACTTTTATATTTATTTAATCTACTTTTCTGTGTGTCATAGAAACCAAAATATGGTACTTTCATTCACAAAATACAATTGCACATCTGTAAATAAATGACGTACATCTATTTTGCTCTTTTTATTGCTAGTATGTGATAAATACTTAAGGAAAATTGAGCTGAGAAACTAGTATTAAAAATTTTTTCTGAAGGCTTAAGTGATGAGATAAATGCCACAGAGGAACATAGTTTTCTTTCTAATAACTGTGTCATGGCAATCTTCTTAGAGCATTTTATACAGTATGTAATGTGTTAGTACATGCTCATTCACAAAGCCTCCTGTTGTTACTTTGTTAATACTGATTATCTAGATACATTAGAAATGAAATATTCAATCCTATGCATTAGAATCTTGTGATATGCCTGTATTTGAGAATGCTAAAGCCAAAAATAATGGCATATGGTTTAAACTCAATGACAAAGTAGATTATGAATGCCAAGTTGGATATGAAAACAGATATAACAAGGGCTCCATAACATGTACCTATGATGGATGGTCGGACACATCCTCCTGTTATGGTAAGTGTTGTTTATTTAGGATATTTTTTACATAAGAAAAATAAAGATTTAGGTATATATTTATGTTTCTTTTTTTAAAAAAAAATGAATTTCAGGCTTGAGCTTGTATGGGTCTTGTGCATGTTGATACCATTGTTGCAAGTTTATATGAGTAACATCAAGCTGTCTGGAAAACTGTGTCCTTGTGGTCATACACCACCTCTGGCTCTTGCGATCTCTCTGTCCCCTCTTCAGCAGTGGTCCCTGAGCCTTGGGTTACAGAAGTTCGATAGAGGTGTCCTATTCAGAGCTTAGCACTCTGCGTTCACTTATTCTCTGCATCTGGACGCTTGTGGTTTCCTGGGCTAATTACCATCTGTTGGCCATAATGGATATGACAACAAACATGAAATCTAGTGTGAAATGATAGAGGCATGCAAATAAGAGAGGGGCCTAAATATGATCAAACTGTAGGAAATTTGCAAAATTCCTTTAAAATTTAAAGCAAAGTGGAGCAAAGAATGTTTTGAAGGCCAAAGATGATAATCTATTTTTTTATTTCATTACATTCATTTATTCTCTCTCTCTCTCCATGTCTCTCTGCATCTGCCTATCTGTCTCTCTTGCTGTATGTCTCTCTGTGTCTGTCTCTTGCTCTCTCTTCCTGTCTCTGTCTCTCTGTCTCTCTGTCTATCTCTGTCTCTCTCTGTCTGTGTGTGTGTGTGTGTGTGTGTCCATGTGTATAGGCATCAGCATGCACAGAACACATATGGATGTTAGCAGTTAACATTCCCTTTCTCCCATTGTGGGTCACAGGGATTGAACTCAGGTCACAGACTTGGTGGCAAGCCCTCTCACCTGCTAAACCACCTCACTGACCCATTAGTTAGTGTGGCACATACTTGTGATATCCTCACTTAGGACCATGAATGAGCAAGGGGATCACAAGTTTGAGGATAGCTTGAGGTATATAACAAACAAAACCAAGCAAACCAAAGTCTGTTATCTATTGAAAATAGATTGCCAGGTTTCTCTATATAACCTGGATTAGATTTGATTTTTTTTACAGTGCTAAGTAAACTTTATTTCAAATGAACTCTGTCTGAAAGGAAATGCCTTGTAGGCCCTTCCCCCTCTGCCCATTCAATTCTTCTTCACCAAAACTTTATCTCCTATGATCCACATCTTCATTCCAGCCTTCCTAAAAACCATGGATGCTATCAGAGCCTGGGGTGCCAGGGCCTAATGCTATTGCAGTGACTGAGGTCTGATAAGGACTTGTGAGCTCATGGGGTGACAGGACAGATTATTTTAAATATCTCCAAAGAAAAAATTCTTTATTTCATTGGTTCTTTGAATTTTTGTTTGTTTGTATTTCATTAATTTCAACCCTGATTTTTTTAATCTCTTCACATCTACTCTTTAGGTATTTTTGTTAGTTATTTTCCAAGGCCTTCAGGTGCATCAGTAAGTTATCAATATGAGATGCCTCTAATTTCTGGTTTTTGGTTTTTTTTAATTTAATTTTTTTAAATATTTGAGACAGGATTTTCCTGCAGCATTTGTTTGCCCTGACCTTGCTATGGAGGACAGACTGGCCTTTAGCTCACAGTGAAATGCCTGTATTTCTCTTCTGAGTGCTGGGATTGAAGGCATTTACCACCATTCCCAACTCAAAATTTTCTCCTATAAAATAAAAAATAGGGTCTGGGGAGATTACTCAGTAGTTAAGAACACTGACTGCTCTTGTAGAAAACCTGGGTTTGATTCCCAGCATCCATACGGCAACTAACAACTCTCTGTAACTCCAGCTCCAGGAGATCTGACATCTTCTTCTGACCTCTGTGCATGACACAGATGCACTTACATACATGCAGGCAATACACTCATACACAGAAAAACACTTAAAAATAAAAATAAACTGAATGATTTAAAGAAGCTGTAGCATATTTGGTGTGTACTGTGTACTTTTGTGGGAATTCTTTTATATTGCATCATGTTCCATGAAATAGGATCATATATTATTGAAAAATTAGTTATATTCTATTTAAAGTGAGTACTAATTATACATAAGTTCATGAAGAGGGAAACTTTATGAAAAGATTATATATGAACCTGTCAATGCATAAACAATATAGCACTTAAACATACAGGCCAAAGAACGGCTCAAGAACATGTAATGCTGTGCTTAACTATATATATGGCAAAAATATATATTGTATCTCAGTTTTAAACATGTTTAAAATACTTCATTTTCCAATTAACATTGGAAATAATCAGTTATCTTGTTGGATATAACCAAATACTGTCAATTATTTGTGTGATCTGCAAGATACACTTTCACTTTCATAAGGAAAGACCTCCTCCCCTTCCTCAGAGGTTGAATTCTACTGTTTCTTTTTCTAGAAACCCTATGTCTTTACATGTAGCTATTTTAATGAATAGAAAGTAATTCACCCACTAAATGATTTTAAGTATTATATTAATGCTCGTTAAGGTATCACTTACACTGTTTTTGTTTGTTTTCAGTGAAAGTGAATTCATGTGATTTTCCTCGAATCAAACATGGACGTCTATACTATGAAGATAGATACAGACCAGACTTTCGAGTACCTACCAGAAAATGATACAGCTATTATTGCAATAAGGGATTCTTTGCTCTTTTGGGGTCATATTGGGATTATACTCAGTGCACAAGAGAGGGATGGGTACTTGAAATACCATGCCTCAGTAAGTCAATGTCTTCATAAATAATTTATGCTATTTTTTGTCATTTTATTATTTACAAAATAAATGCCCACAATATGTGATGGCATAACGTTGTTGATATGTATTCCTTAAATTATCAATTGGGTTTAAAACATAGTCGTGAGTTCATTGGTGGTTAATTATTTTAATTTGTATCATTAAGTGTGAAATTTTTATCTAATTAATCATTTTATGGCTTTGGTAATTTTTTGCTGGCATATTATTAATTCAAAATATTAACCTCTTTCAACTGTATGTATCACAAATCTATTCTTTATTTAAATTGGATTACCAAGATTACCAAATTCCTTTAAATAACCTTTATTAGATTTGATTTTATTAATATCTCCAAAGAAAATGTTCTTTATTTCATTTGTTCTTTGTATTTGTTGTTGTTGTTGTTTCTGTTTAATTAATTTCATCTCTGTTTTATTTATCTCCACATCTGCTCTTTTTTAGGTGTTTTTGGTTCTTGGATTTCCAGAACCTTCAGGTACATTATTAGATTATTAATATGAGATGACTCCAAATTTCTGGATTTTAGTTTTTGATTTTTTTTTTTAAGATATGGTCTCCCTGTAGCCTCAGCTGACCTGCAACTTGCTATGTAGACCAGGCTAGCCTAGATCTCACTGAGATCTGCCTGCCTCGGCCTTCAAGACATGAACCACCATGTCTGGCTTTTAATTTTTCTGATGTAGGTCCTGTAAACTTTCCTCTGAGCACTGTCTTCACCATGTCCTGTAGATTTCTGTGTGCTGTGCTTTCTTGTTCATTCAATTCTAGGCACTGTTGGTCTCCTCTTTGGTTTCTCCTTTGACTCTGCTTTTGTTCAGTAGTCTGTTTCCTGTCAATGAGATTTGGTACTTTCCCCCTTTTTATTGTTGATATCCAGATTTATTCCTTTCGTGATCTGAATATATGACTTTTGCTCTGATCTGTTTCTTCATTGCTGTGACAAAATACTCTGACCGATACCAACTTGGGGAGGAAAGAATTTATTTGCTTACATCTCCTAGGTCACAGTTCATCGCCAAGGGAGTCCAAGGTAGGAACTCAGGGCAAGAACCTGGAAGCAGGAGCTGGAGCACATGCCATGAAGGAACGCTGCTTACTGGTTTACTCCCCTGGCCCACGCTCAATCTGCTCTTTCTACAACACAGACCCACCTGCCCAGGGGTGGCACCACCCACAGTAGGTTTACAATAAATATTCATTCATCTCTCATGGTAACTAGGATTGATTTTCGGGATCAATAGTAAGCATAAGTTTATTTTCAGTACCTCCTGTTTTCACATACACAAACTCTGGGACACCAGTTGTGCAAACTTTCTACAACATGCAATAGTGAGGCTTTGGTGGTGGCGTCTCAGTCCTCGGGGAAGGACGCTGAGGAGGGTGTTCCTCTCTTCATTTGCCATCTTATCTTCTTCGGCAAAAGTTTGCTACCTTGGCTGTTTGTTTCGCTTTGACTGTTTTTAAGACTACCCCATATATTCTAGCTATTAGTCTTTTGTAGCTAGGCAGTCTTCAAATATTTTCCTCCCATTTGTAGCTTTGACTTTAATTCTAATAGTCTTTCAAGAACAAGTGTTTGCTTTTGATTTCAATGTATCAAAAATTTCATTTATGGTTTGTATTTTTTGCACCATCTAAAATTTCTTTGCCTGTGTCAAAGTCCTATACTGTTCTACAAGTTAGTATTTTACATTTATGTATACAGTCAATTTTGAGTCAGTTTTTGATTAGCCTGAGAAATATATTGAAGCTCATTATTTTGCGTTCAAATGCTGACTCTTCAATTCTATTTGTTAAAAGTCTTTCACCAGATTTTTTGTTGTTGTTACAGTCTAAAGACCTAATTAGGCTCCGTGTGGGTCTAGCTCTGGCTTGCCTCTTCCTTTGCACTGCCCCACTTGTTTCTACATTCATCAATACCACAGGTTTCTTTAATTACCATTGTATTTGATGATTTAATATTTTGTAATATTACATGTTCAACTTCTTTCAACTTGAAAAACTAAATGAGAAGTTTAATTTTGATAAAAATACAGATTTCAGCCAGGTGTGGTGCCACATGCCTTTAATCCCAGCGCTTGGGAGGCAGAGGCAGGAGGATCTTTGTGAGTTTGAGGCCAGGCTGGGGCTTCAGGGAGACCCTGTCTCAAAAAGACAAAAAAAAAAATACAGATTTCAAACATAATGGGTAAACATCCTATTTTTATACATGTATACATTGCTCAAAGTTTATACTAGAGTCAACGTAACTAGTG